TCTGTGCAAGCTGCCATAAGAGAGGGTTGTCGTCGAGTCCGTACATGGCCTTCAAGAGTTCGAGCACGAAGTAAACGATGTCTTGGTCCTGCACATAGATGCCACTGCCCTCGATGTTGCGGAGATGCCTCAAAACGTTGGGAGGTAGCCTCAACCAGACCTTTCGGATCTGCCGTACGTCGTGTCCTAGCTAAGTTGCCTTGCGTACAACTTCAGAAAACTTGAGGCCCTGCAAGAGGGCCGTGCTGATATCTAGACTCGATCGCGAGGTCGTACAGAACTGCAAGGCATACTGCCAAGCGGCGAGAAAGTCGTGATGCTGTCGAACTGCGCCTGTCGATGCTGCTTCCTGTCGGTCTAGGAAGTCTCGTCCACAGCGCCTGCTCTTCACCAGTCCTTTTGAACGATCTGCCCACTTCCGAGCCAATCGCCATCAATGGCGTTGTCGGAAGCCGATGATGGTGCGAGCTTGAAGATATCATGGGATAATGGGATACGAAGCTGTTGACCTCCTTTCTTTCTTCTGCTTCAGCTGCTGGCTAATGAGTTTTGATTTCTTCTGGTGTGAGAATCTAGCGGCAGTGCACGCGTGAGGTCCGAAAAGGGCCAGGAACTACCTAGAAAGACTCCTTCCAGACTCCTTCCCTTGCCAGGGCAATGTGCCATCTAGCTCTATCCGAGCCTGGTGGTAGAGAAGCTCTGCATCAGTAAACGCATGGTTCATGTAATCTGCCGCGTAGTCGTCATGAAACTCATCGAACGAGGACTCGGCCTGCGAAGCCCACCAGACTGGACATGGCGTAACAAATCTGGAGACTTTGAGATCCGCGTGGTCGATGGTCTCGTTCAAAGAATTTTGAGGGTACTCGATAGTCTTGTCAGGATCTTCAGCTGCAGGGCACTCGATAGTCTTGTCAGGATCTTCAGCTGCAGGGTACTCGATGGTACGATCAGGATCTTCAGCTGGCGGGTATTCGATAGTTTGATCAGGGTCTTCATCTTCTGACTCAGGTAGGGGCCCCGCCGGTTGAACTGCTGGACCTGATGATGCCGATGTTCCTGCTGCCAAGGATGTCAGTGGAAGTTCTGATTTAGGTAGTACTGGCGCGTCCAATTCTGATGCTGTTCGTGACTGCTTCTCTCCAGGAGGTGAGAGAATCGTAGAGGTGTCAACTCTCTTCAGCCTCGCTGTTGCCCTTGGCGGTGAGGATGGCGGCCTCGGCGGAGACGTTGCCTGTGGCCGAGGTGTAGAAGCATTTGGAGGTGAGGCTGCCTTCGGAGGTGATGAGATCCGAGTAGCAATCGATCTGGGAGGCGTCTGCGGCCTCGTCTCTTGTTCATCAAACTCTGGTCTTGGCTAAATCTGGACTCTGAGTGCGAGACCTGTCACGATCTCCTTCCGATGATGTTGCCTCGGCATTGTCGTGCTCCATTGGTGAAGGTATCGGGCTTCCAGGGATAGCTACTCTCCTTGGCGTCGCAAGCGTAGGCGTCGCAGGTACTGGTGCCGTTGGTACATCTGGAACGCGAAGTCCTAGAGGATTTGCCATCGGATAAGGGACTATCCGAGCCGACGGAATCTGAGGCCTTGGTGGTGCCGGCCAGGTCGCGGGCGCCGGAGGAATGACCGCCGGCGCGGCTGGTGGTGCAGGAGGTGCCGGCGGTGCCGGTGGATGTCCTGCTGCAGCTTCCGATGCTGGCGTCGTTGGGCTGGCACCTGTCATGATGACCTCTGGCGGCGGACGATGTTCTGCTGGTTGTGGCTGCTGTCATGGCGGTGGTCACCTCGGCTGGTCTGGCGGCGCCTGGCAGTCAGTAGCCGGCGGGATCGTAGACGGAGGCTTTTCTGACCACGACCATGGTGAAGGCTGCCGCGTCATCTTCTTTGGGTCCACGGCGTCGCCTAGGTCGGGAGCTTGCTCGCGGGGGTCATGTGGCTCGTCCTGGACTCGGAAGGAATATAGCAGCACAAATATGATGCCTCCGACCATGGACCATGAGATGCCAAGATAATGGCACTGACCGTCGCGAACTGCTTCGCCGCGTAGTTGGATCCTACACTCCGATATCACAACGCCAGGCTGCATCGTTGTGCTGCAGGCACTGCCGTCGTACGCTCGCACTGGGTGCCCACCTGAGTGCCACCAAGATCTGACTCGAGAAACGTCGTGTTGGCCACCTGCTTGACGACCTTGTAGATGTGAGGCCCGCTCTCATAGAGGTCTGGAGGTACAATACTGACATTCCCTTTGCCTCATTGAAAACCTTGCCGAAGATAAGCGGAGCGTTTGGTACCAGCTGCTCGACTAAATTCTTGACGCTCCGCGTGTCCCCACCAGCACCGCCCGCCGCCGGCGCTTCCGCCTGCGGCTGTAAAAAAAAGTCCTTACCAGCTCGCGTTAGCCGTCGGTAATTCGTTTTGCCACCAGCCCTTCGGCCAATTTGTAGCGGCCGCAGCCCGACCGTTACCCGCCGCCGCCGGCGCATCCGCCTGCGGCTGTTAAAAAAATATATAAAAAAAAGTGTCCCCACCAGCCCATCCAGAAACGATGTCCAGCCAAGTTGAAGAGATCAGGGAAGTGGGGGAGCAACGAGAGGGACAGCCGATCCGTGCAAAGGATGAGGCGGAAGAGGAGGCCAGATGGATAGATGAGGGGGTGGCGAGGAACCGAGCGAAGGAGGGATGAGGAGAATGATGACGCTGGGTGGATGGTTGAATGCCGCTCGGATGTCTCTTGGAAGCCTTGTGGAAGCCTCTTCGGACGTCTTGGGGGTCTCTTGGCGGTCAATGGGGGCTCTTGGGCGTCTTGGGTGCTTCGGGGGGGCCTCTTGAGGCCGCTTGGGATCCTCTTGGGGGGCTCTTGGGGGCCTGTTGGAGGCCTCTTGGGGCCTCTTGGGGGTCTCTTGGAGCTTCATGGCGGCCTCTTGGAGCCTCTTGGAGGCCTCTTGGAACCATCCTGGGAGCCTCTTGGAACCTCTTGGGGGCTTCTTGGGGCCTCATGGCGGCCTCTTGGGGCCTCTTGGAGGCCTTTTGGAAGCCTCTTGGGGCCTCCTGGGCGCCTCTTGGGGCCATCTTGGAGGAGATCGATCAAAGAAGAGGGTGGGGTTAATTAGCCCTGCTCCCCCCAAAGGCCAAAATGGTGCCAAAACCTTAGTAAAACCTATGCTTTTGGCTTCCTCGCCGAGGCCGTTTTGGACGCTCTAACTACCAGCGCCCCCCCCCCCGTCCAAGTCCAGGGGAGCGGGTTAGGGGGAGGGGTAACCCCCTCCCCGAAGGGGAAGGAGGGAAGATGGAAGAGGAAATTCCCTAAACCACCTACGCCCAGAGGGCTGGTGGGATTCATAAGCTCAAAGACCAGTTGTGACTTGTCCTTGCCCGTCTTGTAGTCCGCGCAGGTATTTCCCTTTCGTCAGCACCCAAGTGAAGCCCACATGTGGTCGAATACGTTGAAGCGGTACAAGCATGGGACATCCGCGCCAAGAGACAATTGCCTTATTCTCGGGCATGTAGTTCTTGACGAGGTCTGTTGGTCTTCTCCATCCAGCGTCATCTTTAGTGTCGGGCTCCCTCCATAAATCCACTTTCGAGCCGTCCACCAACTTGGCTGCGGCGTGCTGCTGTACTCTCGTATTGTGGGCCTTGGCGATCCTGCCTTCGATGATCGCAGCGTCGATGGCGTCCTTGGCGGCCATCCTGAGCCTGGTGGAGGTCTTCACTGCACCCAGCGCGCTCTCGGGGATACCAAGCTGCGCAACAAGGCCAGGGTTCTCATGGTCGCAGAGCTCGCGGGGCTGAACTCTAGTAAGTGCCGCTGCGGATGTAGCTCCACCATGAGAGAGAGAGAGAGGGTCGTCGTCATGCAGCACTCCTCGACACACCGCTCCTTGCTGACATGCCATCCTTGCTTCTTTGCTGTCGCCCACACTTTCATGCTGCCGATGCGCAATATCTGGATTCGCCTCTCACACTTTGGCGCCGCAGTATGCCCTTGACTTCCATCGAGGTCCCGGTTGATCGAGCAATGCTCGCCTTGGATGCCAGATATGATATAACAGCTCCTGCTTGAGCTGGGACCAGCCACCATTTAGGTCCAAACTATTTGATCGAAAGGTGAACGGCTGCCTGCATCCGACAATCTGGAGCCTTGCGCTCGAGCTTTGTCGTGATTGCATAGCTACTACATTCATCAACAAAGACCACGACTGTCAGACCCCAGATAGATCATAGGTCTGTGCGCACGCGAAAGTTGAAGTGAGGGGTCGTAGTTACTCCGTGTTGAGGTCGTGTCGGATGTCACCGCCAGTCCATGCAATCTTCGCACATCTGAGGAATGACTTGAACCACCAGGGTCAAGACTTGAGTGCCGAAACCTCCTTGACGAAGAACCTGAAGCATACCATCTCGTGGAGCATGCCAAAACCTGATATGGAGGCCGAGGATGATCTTCTGCTACTCGGAAGTACTGATCATGATGTCGTTCAGCTTGCCACGTATCAAAGAGACGTTGAAGTTCGGCTCGATGTAGTCTGGCAGCTCGACCATCTTCGGATCGTCGTAAGATTCCAATGCTTTTCCATCCCCCGTCTTTCGTTTCAGAGCCTTTCGAGGAGGTCGCGATACTGACTGTGCTGGAGTTGGATCTGGTACTGCTGGACTGTGCTCTTCATCAGCTGCATCGGCCTCATCTCCACTTTTAGGTAGTATCGGCTGATCTCCACGAGCACCATCTCAAATTTCCGCTGCGGCTGGTTCTGGCGTTGGAGCTGGAGGTTCAGGAAGTACGGGACTTGCTGATGCTGGGTGCGCGGCTGCTGCTGGAGGCGCTGGTGTTGCTGCGCCTGGTACGGGAACACCTCCTGGCGGAACAGATGCGGATCCACCAGCTCAAGCATGGTCAAAACGGCATCCTTTGACCTGAGTGCGTGGAAATGTTTGCCTGCTGTCCATCAGGGCCGATCTCGTGAGCTCCATGTTTGCAGCGCTCACACGTCCAGCCGACAATGTGGGACTGACTCTTGTTGATGCGCTGAACGATCATGCCGATGTTGTGCTGCACCGCGCCGTCGCCGATGCGCGCTGCAACGTCCATGAGCAGAGCCAGACAGAACAGCCATGGATATACTGCAGACAGTGCTGTGCGGTGAATTGATCCAGCTCTGCCTTGCAGGATGCTGTGGGCCTTGCATTTCTTGTCGCCTTTGCACTGCCGTAGTGAATGTCGAAGCCGCACCCCAGTCGCCAAGAGAGCCGTCGCCTTCTGTGCAGATAGGCCTGTCTCGTCGATCGCCAACTGGCACTGGTCGGTGTAGTACTTTTTGCTGTCGCCGAGGATGTGCGATTGTCTCTGCATGATCTTCTTGAGCGGGCTCTGGGGGTAGAGCCGGTTGCCGTTGTTGACGGCCTCGAGGGAGAACCTCGGCGACCGTTTTTAGGGGGCGGTCCCTCCCGGCAGCAAAGCAGCACTGCACCGCCACACATGCAATTCCAAAGTCACGTCGAGAATGTGTGTCCCCGACGTCTGTGGTCCCGTTTATTGTTGTGGTTCCCGTTGTGGTCATGGATTTTCCCTCCCGGGTTGCAGGGCCGTGTTCCGTCGCACGCGGCCCCCCAGTTCATGTGTCGTGGCAGAACGAGCGCGTGGCACCCGTTGCCGTATCCTGGCCATGGCGTACACCATGTGTAACCACGTCGTAATTGCATCCTTCCTGGTGACCTCCGTTGTGGGCCAGCCCAGCCGGCGCGCAAGGCCAGCAGTCGGCGCGCGGGCGCCCCGGCGCAGGTCGTCATTGGCAGAACATTCCCAGTAGTGGTGCTCGAGCGTGGGCACGCTTGGCCCGCCGCAGTGGTTGCAGCAAGTATTCGAAACCTCGAAACCTCACCTGTTGTGTGGGACCGCAGGAGGGCGTCTGACACAGCACACCCACGCAGTACCGCGGTCATGTGTGAAACCAAGTCAGGAGTGGTGCGTAGCGCCTCCTGGGAGGTCCGCAGTGCAGCGGGCGGGAAAGGAACGCCCGCCGCCTGTGGGCTCTCCCGGCGAGTCCTGTTCTGTAGCGCGGACCATGCGGTAGATCGGAGGATCAGGCGAAGCTCGTGTAGCTGCATGCCCGTCCTGTCGGTGAGCCGGAGGCTTCCCTGAGTTCCCCTCCGCTCCCAGTTGTCGTTCTGCTGCGCACCAATGGTAGCCAGGTGAGCTCTGTAAGCCATGAACATTCCCTTCGTTTGCGCACTCGTGACATCGCGCCCCCAGAATGCGAGGGCATCTTATAAGCCCTGCCTGCACAACCGGCATCGGAGTAGCTGCAGGGATCGCCGGCACAGGCGGTGCCGCATGTTTGCCTGAAGATAGCCGATGATCGAGGATCCTCTGCAATAGATGCCTCGTCGCGCTCGCAATCGTTGTCCATGTGGTCTGCCACCCGGTCCAAAGGCGATTCTATAGGCTTTCGCCGCATCCGCCGACCCCGATATAAACTATTGCGCCTCTGGGACTGCATTTCGCGAGGCTTGTCCGAATCATGACACGGCGCTCGACATCGTTCCTGTTGTTTCGTTGCTCTTATCGTACCTCTTGGTGCTCTTGTGTGGCCTTTTGGTGGCATCTTGGCCTGTCTGCAGGCCATATCAGGCCGCCTCGACGCATCTTGGGCCAAGTTTTGGGGCCTCTTGTGGGCTTCCTGGGGGCTTCTTGGAGGCCTTTGAGGTTCTCTTGGGGATCCCCCAGGGCCTCTTGGGCTGTTCTTGGGGCAGGCTGGGCGCGTCTTGGGGCCGAAGGCTCGAGAAGGTGCCCTCTGGACTCCGTCTTGGAGCCGTCTGGGGGCCCTCTTGAGCTGTCTTGGGGGCTTCGCGGGCTGTCGCTGGACCTTCTTCTACCCTTTTCTGGGCCCCTGGGGGCGATATTGAAGGTTTCTCTGCCCGTCTGGGACGTTGTGAAAACCGAGTACGCGAGCGTGCGAAACACGTTGATTTTTCGAAGGGAATGGGACGATTGTTGTTTCTTGGGGCCCTCTTGGGACGCATCTTGGGGGCCTTTTGAGGCGTCTTGGCAGCTTCGGAGGCCGCCTGGAGGCCATCGTGGGCGTCCAGGGGCGATCTATCGGCGAATCGTGACCACCTGGGGCCGTCTGGGGAGCGTTGTGCTGTTTTTTTGCAAGTTTTGGGTCGCTCCGCTCCCCCGTGGCGCGTTCGGTCTGGGGTCGGGCCCGGCCCGGGGGGGTGTCAAATTGCCGGTTTGGGGTCCCTGGGGGGGTGGTTTATGGGGGGTCGATTTGGTTTGGAGGAGTGGCGATTTGGTTTGGAGGCGTGTACTCCTGTCTCTGGTGGCCTTTCGGAAATATGTCCGACACTTCGGACAGCGTGTGCGCCGCCCTGCATTTCGAGACCTTGTGCAGGTTTCTGGACCGTGCAATTTGTCATGGCTGTCGATGCAAAACGGTTTGGTAGGGGGTCCGAATCACAGGGGTGCTTCGCGGGGTCTCTCTGGAGCGCTCTGGGGGCTGGGGCAGTGTCAGATGGTGGAGGGATACTGCGTGGTCCGTGCGTATTTCGTGGCTGACTTTCGACGTGTTCGCCGTGCAGGCGTGGGGGAATACATGCGAACACCCGCGATCATAGACGACAGGCGTCGGTCCCAAAACCTGACGAGTGGTTCTTGACCACCTTGCTTGGGTTGCGAGCATGCGGCCGCGCGGATGGTTGATGGGATCTCGTGGGAGGTCTGGCGGGGTCGTCTTGCAGGTCGTTTTGGGGTTTCTTGGGGGTTTCCTGGGGGCTTCTTGGAGGCCTCTGATGTTTTCTTGGAGGTCTCTCAGGGTTTTCTGGGGTGTTATTGGAGCAGGCTGGGGGCGTCTCGGGGCCGAAGGCTTGAAAAGGTGCCCTTTGGACTCCGTCTTGGAGCCGCCTGGGGGCCCTCTGGGGCTGTCTTGGGGGCTTCGTGGGCTGTCGCTGGGCCCTCGTCTACTTTTTTGGGGTGCCCCTGGGGGCGTAATTGCGGGTTTTTTTTGCCATTCTGGGGCGTTGTGAAAACCGAATAGGCGAGCGTGCCAACAAAAATGCATGTTTTCTTGTCCGAAGGAAAAGGGCCTATTTCTGTTTCTTTGGACCCTCTTGGGACGCATCTTGGGGGCCTTTTGGGGCGTCTTCGCAGCGTCGGAGGCCGCTTGGAGGCCATCGTGGGCGTCCAGGGGCGATAGTTCGGCGAATCGTAACCCCCTGGGGCCGTATTTGGAGCGTTTTGCTGCTTTTGGCAAGTTTTGGGTCCCTCCGCTCCTCCGTGGCGCGTTCGGTCCGGGGTCGGTCCCGGTCCGGGGGGGGTCCAATTGCCAGTTGGTGGTCCCTGGGGGGGGATTACTGGGGTTGGAGGAGGAGGAGGAGGAGAAGGAGGAGTGGCGATTTGGTTTGGAGGCGTGTACTCCTGTCTCTGGTGGCTTTTCGGAAATATGTCCGACACTTCGGACAGCGTGTGCGCCACCCTGCATTTCGAGACCTTGTGCAGGCGACTGGACCGTGCAATTTGTCTTGGCCGTCGGTACAAACCGGCTTGGTAGAGATCAGAATCACAGGGGTGCTTCGCGGGGTCTTTCAGGAGCATTCTGGAGGCGGGGGCACTGTCAGATGGTGGAAGGATACTGCGAGGTCAGTGCGTCTTTCGTGGCTGAGTTTCGACGTGTTCGCCGTGCAGGCATGGGGAAAGACATGCGAACACCCGCGATCATAGACGACAGGCGTCTGTCCCAAAACCTGACGAGTGGTTCTCGAATGGCGCGCGGCGCATCCCGCCACCTTGCTTGGGTTGCGGGTATGTGGCCACACGGATGGTTGATGGGATCTCGTGGGAGGCCTGACGGGGTCGTCTTGCAGGTCGTTTTGGGGTTTCTTGGGGATTTCTTGGGGGCTTCTTGGAGGCCTCTGAGGTTTTCTTGGAGGTCCCTCAGGGCCTTCTGGGGTGTTATTGGAGCAGACTGGGGGCGTCTCGGGGCCGAAGGCTTGAAAAGGTGCCCTTTGGACTCCATCTTGGAGCCGTCTGGGGGCCCTATGGGGCTGTCTTGGGGGGTTCGTGGGCTGTCGTTGGACATTTTTTTTTGTTATATATATATATATATATATATATATATATATATATATATATATATATATATATATGTGTATATATATGTGTATATGTATATGTATATATATATATATATATATATATATATATATATATATATATATATTATATATATAAAAAAAAAGAGGGGCCCTGGGGGCGATATTGAAGGTTTATTTGCCCTTCTGAGACGTAGTGAAAACCGAATAGGCGAACGTGCCACAAGCAATTGTTTTTTCCCCCAAGGGCATGGGCCTATTTCTGTTTCTTTGGACCTTCTTGGGACGCATGGTGGAGGCCTTTTGGGGCGTTTTGGCAGCATCAGAGGCCGCCTGGAGGCCATCGAGGGCGTCCAGGGGCGATATGTCGGCGAATCGTGACCCCCAAGGACCGTCTGGGGAGCGTTGTGCTATTTTTTTGGGGGGGGCACGTTTTGGAGCCCTCCGCCCCCCCGTGGCGCGTTCGGTCCGGGGCCGCGATCGGCAAGGGGGGTCAAATTGCCGGCGTGGGGTCTCTTCGGGGCCGCGTTCGGTCCGGGGTCAAATTGCCGGCGTGGGGTCTCTTCGGGGAAGATTTTTTGGGGGGGAATTTCACGCGCCTTGAGGCTCACAAAGGGGTCGGCGGATTGTTTTGCTTGTCGTGTCTTTTCACGCTTTCCTAAAGGTGATCGATTCGGCTGAACAGTCCAGGGCGCGCATCTCGGAAACCAAAAAGAACACGAGCACCGAACTCCTTTTTGCAGTGATCCAGCAGGCGTCGATGTTCAGGCAGTTTCGAGTCCCATCCATATCGGTAGTCCACAGGGAAGGCAATCTTAAAACCAACAGATGCCCCAACGGCTGAGAGGCGGCCGGATCCACACATGCTTTCCTGCAGGCGCAGCGACGTGCCGTGAAGGTACTGTTTCATATTGGATATCCATTGGCGAATGTTGCCCGGCGCGGTGGCCACACATCCGGTGAACATAGACAACGGTTCCGGCATCGCACGGTGCTCATGAGGTAGTCGTTTTCCTTTATCTTCCATATGTCGTGGCCCGTGGTCTTTTGCTGTAGTGTAGACGAAACCGTCGGTCATATTCCAAGCCATGAAGAATTCCAGCTCATGGTGTTTCGTGAATCTGTTGAAAGAGCCAATCGCATGTCGGAGTCCAGTGCGCATTGGTATCTTGAACTTTAGCTGATGCCGACGAGTTGCGAGTTTGCATGGTGCTGCTTCCTGTTCTCGAGGCCTGACCATGGAGCTGAACAGATGCCTTATCTTCGATGACGTGTTGGCCAAGGACGTTCTGGCAAAATTTTCGAACAGCATCT